TGCCAATGTTGGGAAAATTGCTTTAGTTTTTGCTTTCTTCAACAAAGCCCTGATCATATCTCTTAATGTAGGAAAGCTATTACCCACTTGTAAAAATCTTGGTTATACAAGTATGAAAGATGTAATGTGGATTTGGTTAGAAAAAGAATTTCTGGTATACCAACCTCAGTATCAGTGAACTGACTTTATCACTGAATGTTTTGCCAGATTATAAGGGTATGTTTCCTTCACAGCTACCAAACACACATACATCTTGCTTGTCAGAGATCCCAGATCTTACTGAAAACCACAAAGCAGCAACATGTCCCATTCAATTCAGCAGATCATCATGAAGTACAACTGATAACTTGCATGAACAAGTTAATAATAAAATGCCACATAGTCCCGCCTGACAAACAGAACAAGGCTAAATTCTGGCTTCATAACTATGGAAGGAGGCATTCTCCCTACTCCTTCAAGGGTAACAGAAGGAAGAATTTTCTCTAAGATTTGCTTCCTCAGTTGAGAAGCTGCATCTCTTCTTACATTCTTTGCTCTTCCTTCCCAATTTAAATTATCTGAATGCCATCCTCTCTACCACTCATAAATGTAAAAATACTCTTTTCTTTAAGGACCAGCTAATATCACTACATTTGTGCAATTACTGCATTTAATATTTTTAAATCTCTATCCTCCTCTGACTGTAAAAATCTTCTCTTTTTTAAAAAAAGAACTTTTCCTTTTTTCTTTTTTTTCTTTTATTTGCAAAACTAGTCTTCTTTCTCAACCCCTACCCCATCAAACTCTCCTAATAACAAAAGTGGCCACAAGCATGGCACAGATACAAAGAAAACCCATACGTACAACTCATATGATATCTTTGCACAGACTGTATGTATAGAAGGGCTTTTATCCTTTAACATATAAGGAGAAATTAAGATTCAAGGTAATAAACAAAGCTCAAATCATTAAAACACAACAATAGCTCTATATTACCCTCTAGTGGTTTGACTGCATCATGGAACAAGGTTTTCTTTTAACAGAAAAGATTGACACAATTTGCTTTTATAGAGCATGTGCCAAATTAGGAAGGGAAAAATAATCTAAGAGAAGAACAATATTGCATTCCAGTATTACACACAACTGGTCTCCTCCTGTTCTTAAAAGTGATGATTCTTTCTGATGTGAAGAATTTTTCTAGCCCCTGGAAGCAGGCAAGAGCAACTAGATTGGTACGTTGCTGACAGTACAAAACTCCCCAAATTAATTAGAAGCTGCTACAAGGCTATTTTATAGTCCAAACAGCAGGCATTTCTTTGCATCAATCTGGCTCAAATCCCTTACACCTCTGTGAATGAATTACTCTAGTTCACAACCTTAGCCCATTCTTAAAATAGTCTGCTGGTTGTAATGAGATTGGAGCGATAACAGCAATACAACTAACAATTAGCACCATAATCTGTTTTACCAGTCTAGCTCAATAGCAACCTGCCAGAGATTTCTTACTCAAACACTACTTGTTCAAATATTTTCAGCTAAATCTCCAGTGATCAGCACAAGCAAGGCAAAACTAGAAAGATCTACTGACTGCAATTGCTACTACTCCAAATGATTTAAGGAATAATAATTAACAAGGAGTGCACAACTTCCATTAACTCAAGAGTTACATCAGATGTAACATGTGACATACAGAAATGGGAAAGGCTAGGCCCCATTTGAAAGGAGGGGTTCAGGAGTACAGTAGGTGCTACATTAGTATGTTGAGTTTTAAAGCAATAAGTTGTATTCCTTAAAACACTTAAAATGAAGAAAAAGCCCCACAAAAGATATGCTGGAGGGCCACATGCAACTTTTGGATCATAATTTTTCCACCCCTAATTTAGTGCTTTCATTTTTAAACACTTGCTACAGTGGCAATTATAGCAGTCGAAGAACTGCTATTCAAGCAGCTTGGGATAAGTCCTAGAGTCTTTGACTTCTCCACAAGCACTTTTTCATGTTATGAAAACAAAGAATCCTTATTTGTTTTCCATGTATCATAATAAAGAACAAAGTGTACGGAGGAAATTTTATGCCTTAAGAGGCAGTAAACATGTACATGTTAGTTTTAAGCAGATATACCTCCTGAGCAAGTATTTAGTGCATAAAATGTATACCCAATATCTTCATGTTAAAAGAGGAAGGAGAAATCATTTCATCTCCTCCTTTCATTCTCTCCAGTCACACACGCCACTATTTCTAGTAGTTAGTCTCTTTTTGGATGGAATAAAATCAAACAAAACGTGCGACTTGTTTGATGCATTTGGAGGAGCTATATGTTGAAATCGGCCCGTTTGTTAATGACTATTTTTTTCATAATACCTCTAAGAAAGTTAAAAACCATATTCTATGGAAACTCACAGAAACTGAAGTGACAAGAGACTCCGAGGAACAAGGGGAAATTGGCCAAGAGATTGTGTGCTAAAGTATCTGAAGAGTTTCCTACTGAAATTCCTTTTTACAATGGCTATCTAATTTGTTTCTAACAAAATGCCACAAAAATAAACAATTGTAGAACATGATTGACTATTCAATCACCCTTATATTTCCTCTTGAAATTTCATAAAATAATTCTATTTTTTTCTCTTAAAGTCTTTTTTTAATACAAGTCTCCCTGTTCTATCCCTATTATATATCTCTATCCTCAGCCCAGCCCAGCCCACCCACCTTTGAAGCCATTAAAATAAACTCTCATGATAATGCCTCCTATTCTTGAGGCAATGCAATGAAACAGCTTGTTTTACTGATTTCACAAAAAAATTACAAACAGTTAATTCCAAAGCATGCATCTGTGGAATAACAGAAAGCCTTGGAGTTATATATATTAGCGGGAGGAGCATGGAGGTAATAACCCTGCACACCTTGTAGATTTCATTCATTTTTTTAAAAGAAATTAACAGACACTAAAGAGAATGCATGACTGGATAACAGCAAAACTTGAATATCTCTTCAATATTCACCGCACTCAAACTGTCACAAACAACACAATGCTTAACATCATAAACTTTGCTTCTGGTAGGCATCTATGTATAGACACTAATATTTAGGGCTCTAACACTCATCAGCTCTCAATCTTTTTTCTAACAAAGTTCTGACTTCTTAAGCATGGATATAAACAAATGGAATTCTGCAAAGTCCTTGAAGGAAAGAGAGGAATGTTAAAAAGAAAACACGGGGGAAGGAAAAGGGTGAAAAAGTCTTTTCTAATGGAGAAATTAAACCACTGCTTTTTAAAACCTTCTCAATCAAGCATTAAATGCCACAGTATTTGCAGCACCAGGCTTCACATGTATTGTTAATTAACTTTAAAAGAACAAAAAAAATGAAACAAAAAAAAAATCCCTAAGCAGAATACTAAAAGACAATTGTTCAGACTGAAACATAGAAAAGAGACATGCCATTAAGAACAAGAGTTAGTTATTTCAGTGACAGCACAGCATGCAGTTGAGCCCTTAAGAATTACCTCAAACACATCCTTCCCATCATAATGTAACAATGTATAAATAGTTTGCTGGACAGCACTACATACATACCCACACATGCCACTATTAACAAATTGGAGGCATAGTATAGGGGAGGAAAAGTTTGCATCAAAGCTAGAACATGTGACAAAAGAACAATGAAGTGGAAATTTGAAGAAATTATTTACTACTCCAGTGAATGTTAGTCATCAATATATGGAGTCAGTGAATGTTAGTCATCAATATATGGAGTCATTGTTCCTAACATTTGTAGGTGGTGGAGGTGGAGGCAATACAGCAAAAACAATTATTTGCTTTCAAGGCAGAGTATTTAGGTTTCAGTATGAATGAATTAAAGGAAAGGAAGGTATTGCAGGCGGGTGGATGGGAGGAAGAGGCAAGCATACACTAAACATACATACTATCTCCCAACAAACATACCAAGATCCAAGAGACATATAATAAATGTTTACAATATGTTCTTAGCACCTTTGGTTGGCAACTGTACAGGCAACTTGAAATCTTAGGAACTGCAGAAATGAATGTTCTTCCATCTCTTTTACTGAGAAAAAAATAGAAAGAAGGAAAAGCACAAGCAAGCACCTTTTCCCTACTTCGCTGAAATGTAACTATACCAATGTAAATAAGAATAGTGGGTTGCATCTCAATGCAACTTTTCTAAAGGAGTATTGGGCCCCACTTTTTTTTTTGAAATAAGATTTTAAAAAAAATAAAGCTCATGCATCTCATATGTGAAGAAGAATAAATGATGCAAGATAAGACTAACAGCTTCATAAGGCTGAAGCAGCTTTAGCTTAACAGTAAAAAAATACAAAATGTATTACAATCAGGAACTAATGGAGATATAATTCAAGGCTAATGAAAAGGGGAAAATGGGCCTACAATGACCTCATTTGCACTTCTAATACATGCACAGTGGAACAACATTCAGAAATGCACTGCAGGATTAGGCACACCCAATCCCTATGAAGTTCCATGACAGTTTCTAAGTTCTGTAGCAGTTTTCCATAACAAGGGTGACATTTTCCTTGGATATTGTCAATCCAAATTATCTTTGTCAAATTACAAATATGCAGGAAAGGTGACAGGAATAAAAGTGGCAATTTATGGAAAATAAACTCCCCACCTTTGAGTTTGGCCAAAGGGTTACTTCTGTTTTTCTTTGAACATGAGGGGAAAATATACCTTTCACTTAATATACCCACCATTCTCCCAGGCTCTTATTTATCAGGCTCCTGTCAAAAAGATGCAATTTTTGAAGGCCTCCAAATATACCCAAAAGGAAAATTTATTTCCCAGCATTGAGTCCTAACAGCTGTGACTTTGGAGAATTTCAAACACATCTATTTCCATTCCTCTATCAACTTAATTTCCAAGCAAAGAGAAAGAACAGATGAGAAGGGAGAGAGAGAAGAAAGCAAGCATTCATATCATGCATGGTCTTACAGTATAGCCTCCTTGACCCCTCCCCCAACATTTGTGAAAGAGGAAGACTCCTCTTTATTTGCCGCCTCCTCCTCCACCACCTCCGGCCGCTGCCACTTTTTCAAAATCTTCAGCATTGCAGAATTCCTTGATTGTGACCGTTAATAGATTGCTGGTGACATCAGTAACCACCACATTAGAGCATGGAGACATTTCGGGTCGCCAATCACCAGCCTCCTGTTCTGGGTCAGAAGACAATGGAGAGGACGGGATCTGACCTACTCCATTCCCTCTGGAAGGTGACTGCTTACTGGACACTGCTGACTCAGGTGGAATTGACAGATCGAGGACCTCAGATTCACGCCAGTCAGGAATGGCAGGATTTAGAATCTCAGGGAGCAGCTTTGGTGGGGAATCATCTGGATCAGATGAGGAGTGTGGCGCTGGTGAGGGGCAGTCAGAGGAGCTGGAACTGCGGGCATCATAGGCAGAACAGCCCATGAGTCCACAAGAAGCACCTTGAGAACCTCCTGCCTCTGTCTTCCCCTCTAATGATGGGGATGGAATAGATGGCTTGCTATACAGAGGGAAGCTTCCAAATTTCATGTGGCGGATCTGATTACGAAGCATGCTCTCACTAAACTTCTTGCTCTTACCAATTACACGATTTCGGGACGGGATCTTAGAGCGTGCCAAGTTTCCTCCCCCACTTGCTCCTTTGCCACTTTTATCAATGACTTTCAGATTGAGAATGATACGACTACGCTTGGGCTCACGAGGTTTCACTTTGCGATTGATGATGCGTACAGTCTCTGAGAAAGGAGAGACAGGGGGGCGGATGCCAGTGCTCCCACCCACTCCACTGTTCTGTGGATCCGGGCGGGGCAATGGGCGCCGGGACATACGGTGGCATCTTCGGATGTCCTTCTTGAGCCTGTGCACTGCAGCACTGGAGTGCAGTTTCGGTGAGGATGTGCTAGAACTGGGCTTGACAGAAAAATGTACATCCCCAATGTGTACGGTATCTGCTTGGGCTCGAGCCTGCAGTGAATGGGATAAAATGAAAAACATGGAGTTAGACTGGAATAAAATATATTCTATGTGCTGAAGTCCAGGTTTCTTAAGAGTTGGGAACACAATTCTAAACACAAAGCCAAAAAAGATGAAGTGATGAATGACTCCTGGATTTAAAATACAGCTTCCTTGTAGTTCAAATTAACAAGGAAGTTTTGCCTAAGCTTAGTCTAACCTAAACATGATATGGTTATAAGCAGGAAAATCCCAATAGGACTATATGCAATATATTTACATTTTTGCTCTTGAGTTTAAATTATAATTTAGCACACTAGATGTTAAGGAACCAAAGGGTTTATATTTATTAATTAACAGTGACATTAGATAGTTAACTTCGATGCATACATTTGAGCCCAGAATAAAGAACAAATTAGTTTGTCCAAATTTTAAAAAATACAAAGGTAAAGCTTACAAAATTAACAGTTTATAAGTTTCTGTGAACATACTGTTAGCTAAAATATCCTGACATCACTAGAGGTTTCATGCAAACCCTTTGACCATCCAAATAAATCAGTGATCTTAACTATTCACTAAAGAAGTGAGACAGGATATAAATTTTTATTTTTTTATTTTTATTTTATTTTTTTCGCCATCTATCTAGCCACAGGGTTACTCTAGGCAGCCATAGTAATATCTGTTGGAAACAATATCAAATTTGGAAAAAGACACTTAAACAAGAAGCAGTATTTCAAGTAAAAAATATTTAACCATTAAAATGTAATTTATTTATTTCATACAGAATTGTTAAGAATATAGGCAATTTGCTACAAATGTAAGATCTGGAAAATCTTTTGATTTTAATAAAGAAAAACATATTTGGACTCTTTGATGCATAGATGACTAGCAACAGCCCATAGATAAATTAAATCTTCTAGATAGTGTCAATTATTATGATGCCTAGGCACTTGAAAATGAATTGATTCCTGCAAAAACAAGCAATGTAATATAATGTACTTTTCCAGGATTTGCAAAATCCTAAAATATTGTAATTTACTTAGCAGCAATCATTTATCTTTTAGATAGACCTTCTCTACTTAATACTATGCTAGAAAAGCCACACATTAGTATATAGAATTAAGATTGAAAAATCATTCAGTTAATGTTCGGGTTAAATCAATGACAGGTAGTCCTTACTTAGCTACTGTTCAAAGTTATGATGGATCCCCCAAAAGCTAGAAAATCACATACACACACACAAAACCCCAGTTCTGGAGTTTTTATGATGGCATAACCCCCCTCCCCCCCAAATATGGTCACATAGCCACATTTCAGGCACTTGGCAACAGATTCACCTTCACGACCAGTTGTGTACCCTGGTCACATGACTGCAATTTATGGTTTTTGCGAATTTCTGGCTTTTTCAGCCAGTTTCTGGCATAAAAATGCCCATAGGAATGAATGGATTTGCTTAACAATTGTGGCGCTTTTTTAAGGATAGTGTTCACTTAATGACCACTACAAAAGAAATGTGTACAATCAGGTTGGTCACATGGGTGCCTTAACTTTACAACCATCACGATTTACTATGGAAATTCTGGGCTCAATTAGAGTCGTAAGTTGAAGGCTACTGTACCATATTAATTAGGTACTTATGATTTAAAACCCAAATTAACTATAGTTGTAAATCCTGGAAATATTCATTACATACTTTACTGAGAAAAGGATTACAAATTCCTGTCCAAATTATTAGACTCTGGCATCACGTATTAATTATTGAGGTTAATCAGAATTTTTCCAGTTTTAAGAAATACAGAGTCACCTTGTAGGGGAGATGGGCAGCATCAAATTTAATAAATAAAAATATACTTTTGATGCTTAATATCTGTCCAGCCTATAATTGATCTCTTCCTGAACTAAAAATACCAAAATACTAAATACTAAATACTAAATACTAAAAATACTAAAAATACTAAAAATAAATCTTTCCTATTTCCCTATTTAGTTTAATTCATATAAAACATTTTAATATTAAAAAGAGCTGAAAGTATGTAGTAAATCCTTCTGCTTTTCAGGTAGCATTCAGTTCCTTAAAAATATTGAAAGCGATTTTTGTCAGTTCTTCTGAAAAAATAAATTATTCGGAAAATAGAGGGCTTTTAAGGTTTTTGGATACTACTAACAGGAGCACCTTTAAATAGACTGTCTGGTCCAGAAAGTTTATTTTGCAGGCAGACATACATAAAATTACTATCAAAAACTCCAGAATAAATGAAATTTGCAGAGTTGCTATGTATACCCACACTATTTCTTTAATTTTTGTCTTAAGAATTCAAACTTTTCAACCTTTCACACAATCCTTGTAAAAAAGAATCATAAATCACTTGTCTGATTTTTATATGAAAAAAATGGTTGACACAACTTTTATTTCAATATGATAGAAGTATGTTGAAGTCAGAATAGAGCTGCCCTCTGGTGCTTTGAAAAATAAGTTGACCCTCTCTTCTTTGTGGCAGCCCCTCAAATGCTGGGCTACTGCTATCATGTCACCCCTAGTTCTTTTTTTCTTTAGACTAGCAATACCCAAATCCTGCAAGGCCTGTTTTAGTCTCCAGGCCTTTAATCATTTTAATTGCTCTTCTCTGCACTTTTTTCAAAGTCTCAACATCTTTTTTGTAATGTAGTGACCAAAATGGATGCACTATTCCAGGTGTGGTCTTACTAAGGTTTTATAAAGCGGTACTAATATTTCATGTGATTTTGATTCCATGCCTCTGTTTATACAACCAAGGATTGTATTAGCTTTTTTGGCTGTCGCCGCACGTTGCTGGCTTATATTTAAGTGATTGTCCACTAGGACAGAGTTCCCCAACCTTTCTGGCTTTGAGGATCGACCGGGGGGGGGGGAGAGAGGAATGGTTCTGTACAAGTGGCCAGCAAGCGTGCACATGCAGCTCCATTTGCGTGAGGGGCGTGCAAGCATGCCCTCCGCTCATGCAAATGCGGCATGCATACACATGCTCACCCAAGTGGCAATGCACGCACACGCTTGTCCATTCCCACAACCTGATTGCAAACCCTTCACAGCCCAGAGGTTAGGGTCCCTTGCACTAGGATTCAAAGGTCCCTCTAACGTTACTGTTTTTGAGCCAGGTTTTGCCCAATCTGTACTTGTATCTTTGGTTTTTCCTGCCTAAGTGTAAAACCTTGCTTTTCTCCACATTAAATTTCATTTTGTTGTATAGGATCCATTGTTCAAGTCTGTCAAGATCCTTTTCCATCCTGAGCTTGTCTTCTGGAGTGTTGTCTATTCCTGCCAGCTTAGTGTCATCTGCAGATTTCATGAGTTTCCTTTCTATTCCCTCATCTAAATCATTTATGAAGATATTGAAGAATACTGGGCCCAAGATGTGGTACTCCACTGCTTATTTCCCTCCATACAGTGTGACAACTTATGAATGTTCAAACATGTAAAGACTTTAAATTATGCTGATCTATGACCATAATAAACCATTGGTTATTTATTTAAATGAGTTATAAAGCTGCCCACCTCACCGTAGTGCCTAAACTAGCATACAATGTCTATGTAATTTTCTTGGTAACAACATAAAAATTATTTACCAGTCTACTGACGTTTTTAAAAATCTGTGGTTTTCTGATGATCTCTCTTCCAATGATAATTGGGAGTAACTTCTTTGGTTTTTTTTTAAATCAAACAGCTACTATCACATTCAAAATAAGGTCATTTTTTAGAAATCTGACAAATTAAAAAGGGTGGCTTATAGCCATTGGTCAGTGCCAGTTCAATGGCACTGAAGTGTATGATTCAATGAAACAAACTTCTGTTTTGTCATCACACCGATCACAACATTTAACAAACGTACATTGTCAGATTTATCAGCTAGAGACTGTATTCAACCCTAATGAAGAAGACCAAATAACATTTGATTTTTATCTATTCCTTTCCAATTTCACGTTTTAATATTTAGACAACTGAACCCCAAAACCCTATCACCATCAAGTTATTAAAACAGAAGTTACCTTTAGCAGAAAAGTTTTAGGCTTAGGTCCTCTCTTCTTAGGTCCATAAAGCTCACGCTCACGTTCCCTTGTTGAGGTGGAGAAAAGAAATTAAACACTTTTTTAAAAAAAAAAAAAGCCCAAAGATGAACAATTAAAAAGAGAACCTTCTTCTAAAATAAACATTTTAACTTCTTGACTACGGGGGCAATAAAGCCACCGCAATTCCTCCTCTGATTTTTCAAGAGGCAAGACTCACTTTTGCTCGAAGGCTGCAATCAAGCGAGAATCTAGGATGTTTTCCTCGGGTTCCCAAGTGCTGTACCTGCACAGATTCAGACAAACAGAGCGGGTGGCACGGTATTCGTGCGCACCGAGGAGTTTGCGGGGGGGGAAGGGAAGGGGAACGGGAGAGGAGGCAGCAAACCGCCCCCCCTGGCCCTGCTCTCCAAAGAGAGGAGGAAGGCAGAGCGCCAGCCCGGCCAGGCCCCGAGAGGCGGGAACGGGGCTTCGCGCGGAGAGGCTGGAAGGCAGAACTCACTTGATGGCCCAGCCTTTCCATTTCACCAGGTATTCGATGCGTCCCTGCAAAATACGTGGGCGGAAAGGAGGGTGGGTGGGAGAGCGGAAGAAGGGAAGAGGAGAAGAAAAGGGAGCGGGTTAGAGAGGTGGCAACGGCAGCGACCCCCAAGCCAAGCCCCGCCGGCCCGCAGCTCACCTTTCGGATCCGCCGCTTGATGATGGATTCGGCCGCAAAGACCCGCTCGCCCACTGCAGAGAGCTCCATCTTTGCTCAGCCTCAGCAACAGCAGCAGCACCCACAGCCCATAATAATCCCGCCCGCTCCCTCGCCTTCCCTTTCTCCCTCTCTCAGGGCTGGCTGAGTGACTGACTGAGGCGGGTTGGCGGCGGCGGCGGCGGCGCTGTTCCCGCGACAGCGGCTAGAGCGATTGAATCGCGCACACGCACGCGGGGCGAGAATGCGCCGGCGCACGCGTGCATGCCCGTCTTCGCCTCGCGCGCGCGCCCGCGCCCGCGCGCGCCTGCCGAACGCACGCGAGCAGGGACGCGGCGGGAGGAATGGGGACGTGACGCGAGCCAAAAGCTCCCTCGCCCCTCCGTTTCACGTTCGCTGCCGCTTGGAGAGTCCGTGCTTCCTTCGCCCCCAACCCACCCCGCGCTGGCGGAGAAAGGGGGAAAAAGCCGGCAGGGCGCAAGCGCGAGCTCTTAAAGGGTCCGCGCTGTTGACTTCCGAGCACAAAAAAGGCTGTAGACGTGCGAAGAGCGAGAATAGGAAAGTACAGCGTGGACTCACTCGCAGGGGGAGTGCCCCCTCCTCTTCCCCCCCCCAGTAGGTTTCCTGCTAGTCTTTCCATTTTCTCAGCGAGCGCCTGTCATTATTCCCAGCTGTCATTTCCTGCTCCCTCCTCCTCCTCCGTGCAGTGGTGATCTTTCTTCTGTAGCAATTAAAAAATAACATATTAATATAAAATACAAATAGGGGTTAGAAAACATAAACTATCACATCTCTGCTTAGAGACATGTAACTTATTCAACCCAGTTAGCTGATATTCAAACCATGATTTCGATTCTCGGGTTGTCTTGCCGTTCAGACTCCCTGCTGGGAGATGAGGAGGTTGTAGTCCAAAACATTTACAAAATCGAAAGAAGTGGCTTCAGCAGCATTTATAATGAGTCTCAAGGATTATCTGCCGGTTTTATTTAATCTTGAAATTCATATCATAAAAGCAGAATAGCCTTGCTCATATTACGTTGCTACAATAATACATTTTCTCCCTCCTAAATAATAATTCCGCACCACCCATCCTACCTCTGGGCATTTATTTGCTGTATATTTATTTGTTGGGCATTTATTTGCCTTAAAGGCTGCATTGTGGGAAAACAGGAGAAAGGAGAGAACAAAAACAACAAAACAAATGAAGAGTAAAGCTATTCATATTACTTTTCTTTTAGCCATCGATTCATAGTGAGTAAACCAGCCAACTATTTGTTGTTAAATAGCAAATTCTGTGCTTGTGTGCATTAGGAAAATATTGAAAATAAAGCAATGTAAATAATACCATTATATAAAAGTGCAGTGAGTCTTTATCTTGAATACTGTGTTTAGTTTTGAGTACTGCATCTGAAAAAGGATCTTAGAAAGCTAAAAAAAAAAGGAATAATCAACATTTTAGGATGCTCCCTTGTTCCTTGTATACTTTTATTTTTTTAATCCTACTGTCTGTACCATATGTGGGTATGTCATTTAGAATTTCTGAACTGGAACAAAATATACCCTATAAATTACAGGTACAACTTTTAACAAGAAGAAAGGTAAATAAGAGGAAATCTTGTATTTCCTTTTCCTTCTTTCTTTCCTGTTAAAAGCTGGATATCTACACATTTGAGAGGATGCCTTCAACCTCTACTATTGTTAAGGAAAAGAACCTATGTTTGATTTTATAATAGAAGTATACAAAATTAAATGTCAGAGATTCATAATTGATAAAAGGTACAACTTATTTACAAAATATATAGTTAAATTTGTTATGTGCCACCATCAAATACAGTGATAAATAACAATTTAGACTATTTTAAGGGGAAATTGAATACGTTTTAAAGGTAAGTATATGATTAATGGCTTCTAGTATTGATGGCTAATTGTGGCTCCCAAAATTGTTGACAGTCTACTTTGTACATCAAATGCTGGAAAGCAAAAGGTTATGACTTTCCTTTTCATATTTGTGAGCTTCCTGACCTAATTGTCTTTACATATTTAGATTTACCAGGGCTACTTCACAACTGCCTTTTTAAGGTGTGTTTGGGGGCAATATGTAGTAATAAAAAAATCAAGCAGCAGTTTCTGATCTATCTTATTTGATTAGTGCATGCACTTGATCAGATCCAGCAAGTATTTGCAATCACATGCATCCAACTGGACACATCACATGGTGGATAAAGCTCTTTAAAATCCAATAGTGATCCTGTTACATAAACTACCATTTGTAATTCCGAAAGTGGCACCTAATGCTTAAAATCAGTAGACTTCTTTATGTATAAGGAAGTTATTACTGTCATGATTTGCTCACTTTCTTTACACCATGTATAGCAATTAAGTGCTCTGATATGCTTCAAAGATATTTGACTATGTTGCCAAAGCAATCAGCACTCTGGAGAGCGCTTGGCACCTTGTTTTGTTTACAATCTGTAAATACTCTAAAAAGAAAGCACAAAAGGAAATTAAACTTGCAATCACTGTAGTATGAAACTAATGAAAGAATTAATGGATAAAGGTTAAAGGAGCTATTTAGGGCTTCATACAAGCCTAGAATAATCTGGAAGGCCTCAGATTCTTCACCTGAGGAAGAATCCATACACAATACATGAATTAAAAAAACCTAAATAAATACGATTTCTTGGACTAAAACAGCAGTCCCAACATTCCAAAAAAAAGACTCAACGGGGCTCAGCAGGCACACTAAGCCTAACAGAGCCAGGTCTTCCAGGTCTCTTGCTGCCATGTGTAACTCCAGCGGGATGCTGTTCCAGAGGATGGGAGCTGTAATATATGATTACTGCAGCAAGATTATTGTATGTGCAGAGATGGAAAGATCTGGCACTACCCACTATGGGGAAATGGTTGGTGAAATTTACTGATGAAATGGATAGACTTCTTTGATTAGAGAAGATATTATCTATATTTATTGGTGACTGGAAGCCTCTTAATCACTTTTCGCATAAAAATGAACACAGTGAAGTTGTGATTTTGATGATTAGACAGGATAGGTTATAGAAAGAATATATTGTAATTTTAGAGAGAGAGGTTAAAATACTTCTACAATAACCGCTATGAGGAATATTGGAAGCCATTTCATTATTTTTTCTTTTCTACTATTCTTCAACGTTTCTCTTTTCTTGTACTTTTTTCTTTTCCTTTCTTGCTTTATATTGGTTTGTAATAGTTTTTATTTATTTATTTATTTGGATTTCCTATTTCTTAACCACCCATCTTTTATGGGGGCTTTTATTTTCTTGTTTAAGTCTTAATAAAAAAATATTTTAATTTTTTTAATAAAAATCATTTTCCATAGTGCCTCCCCACTTCAAAAAGTTGATAGCATTTCATCCTTTCCCTCAAAATAATAGCTTTCATAGCTTTCCAATTTTGTTTAATTCTACAGAATAGCTACATCCCTCATAACAACTTTTTCCTTTCTTGTAATAGATCAACAGTGCATTCAAATTATTTTGATTACATTTGATAGCTGACTGAAATGATCTATAACTTCCTGAATTCTGATGTAAAAGATCAGTGATAGTTTTCTCTACCCATGCCAAAATATATTTTCATTTGTCAGTTTGTTCTAGATCAGCAGGATTAACAAGATACTACAAGGGAAAAGAAAAAAGTTATTGAAAAAAGAAAATTGTACATGTTGCCCGTTTCAGAAAAATATCAAAGAGAAAGATGGCTCAGGTAGGTACAATATAATTAATTGGAAATTAATCCATATTTATAGTCTTAGCTTTAGTGACTGGGAGTAAAATAACATGTTTTCCTAATTGGAAGATCAATCTTCCAAAAAAGGAATATATGAAACTATTTGTATGTTTTAATTAATTGGTGGCTAGTTTGATATATATGTGCAAATACTGTGTTTTCTTAATTCCCCCATCAAAAAAAAATTCTTTAGTCTGCTGAATTAATCTGAGATCTCATGAGATTTATAATTATTTTGAAGCAAACATGTACAAAACATTTTTCCCTTCTGTTCAATCATGTTCAATTATCAGAAACTGCCTGGACAAATCTGCAGAAAATGTGATAGCTCTAAGCTAAAGCATACCCCATGTCCCAGGTTTAATTTTTGCTATTGCCATATATGTTTAGAGAAATTCCTGCCTGCTTGTACTTCACATTTTACAAAGATCACTGACAAAATGTAAAGAGGATAAAGAAAATGATGGGAAGATCTTTCAACTGTTCTTCATGAAACTGGGTAAATTTAGATTAAAGGAAGATACTGTTGATTTCAAACACATGAAAAATTGTTAATATACAAAAAAAAATCCAGGAAGTAGATTCCATTTAAAATTTAGTGAAAACATCAGTATTAAGAACTGCTTGACAAAAGAATTGATTATTTTGGCATTTAAATAGAGGCTGGGAAGATCTAGTGAAGTTGTAATTTCTAGAACTACCACTGTAGCTGCTAGGTTTGAGAGACTTGAGAGATGATTTCTCAGTTTCTTCCAGTTCTGCAGTTCTATTATAAAGATGCTTAGCGGCCTACCAAACTGTAATCCGTAATTTGCCAGCAAGTGCTATCAAAATTGTCGTAAGGACAATGAGATTTAACTGCTTCACTTCAGCTTCGGATATTATCCATTATATTATGTTATCCTATTGTCTCTTCTGTAAACATTTAAAGGCAGCATGTTTCTTTTTATGTGATCAGTAGTCAGATCATCATACTCAAGTTTAAGGTGTCCAATCAATGCTTAATCATGAAGTAGATCTAAAGACCATCTGTTTAGTCAAATGAGGCAGTCAAGTAATTTCAGGTCAAGTTGTATGAGTAAGTGATCCCAATATATTCAGAAAATTCTTTTCCAGAAGAGGGACAAAAGCCATATTAGGTTACAGTATTTAATATTACTGCACCAACCAGTCATGTAAGTTTTCTTGGCTAGAACAGCCAAGTTTGAATAGCCATCTGACAGAAATGCCCACAAGAGTTGGGCATTCCATGTCGTTGGGCATTCCATGTTGTTCATTCACTGATAAT